CCCAATACTGACCCCTGAGGAACGCCACTCATTATTGGTCTCCTCTCGGGCATCAAGAAATTGACTGTGACTCTCTGCGTGCGACCATCAAGCTAATTCCTGATCCACCAAGTGGTCCACAATCAAATCGATGTTAGAGAGAAGCATGTTGTGCAGGACAGTGTTAAATGCTTTGCACAAGTCCAGGTAGATGACGTCACTTGCTCTTCATTTATCCGTCAACACTGTAATGCCATTGCAGAATGCCACCAAATTTATCAGGCACTATATGCCCTCAGTGAAGCCATGCTGGCTGTCACCAATCACCTCATTTTCCATGTGCCCTAGCATAGTTTCCAGGAGGATCTGCTCCATGATCTTGCCAGGCACAGAGGTGAGGCTGACTGGCCTGTAGTTCCCTGGGTCTGCCTTTTTTCCCTTTTTAAAAATTGAGATTATATTTTCAGTCAGCGGGAACTTCACTGGGCTACCCCGACTTCTCAAATGTGATGGATAGCGGCTTAGCCACTTCAGCCGTCAGCTCCCTCAGGACCCATGGATGCATCTCATCAGGTCCCATGGACTTGTGCACCTTCAGGTTCTTTAGATGGTCTCAAACCTGATATTCTCTTACAGTGGGCAGTTCTTCGTTCTCCCAGTCCCTGCTTTTGCCTTCTGTGACTTGAGTGATGTGGCTGGAGCACTTGCAAGTGAAGACTGAGGCAAAAGAGTTGAGTTCCTCAGTTTTCTCCATGTCCTGGCTAGCCAGGTCTCCTGTTTCATTTTGGAGAGCGCCCACACTTTCCCTAGGCTTCTTTTTATCACCGATGTACCTATAGAAGCTTTTCTTGTTGCCCTTGCTTTCCTGAAGTCCAGAGTAGTGAGCTTGCTGTGTGCCCTCCTTGCTGCCCTAAGGGTCTTGGACTCCATCATTTCATGTTCGCTGCAGACAAGGCTGCCCTTGAGCTTCACATTCCCCACCAGCCCCTCCTTGTTTGTGTACAGTAGTTATTAAGTTGGCAGTTCAAAATAAAATATGTCCCTGATCTTTCTCCTACAAATATAAAGCGAATGCTAGTCTATGTGCATGCATGTGTGCGCACACACGTACATAGAGATGATGGGCAAATAGTTTGACAAACTCTAATTTTTTTTTTTTTATTGCCCTCTTGGAGACAGTAATCCTCCAAGAGAAATTCTGTGATATGGATGGGTTGTTAGAGTTGTGCTTTTAGTGCTGATTGAAACTTGCAAAAAACCCACCTCCAGTCATCTTAACAGAAACTGAAGAGTCACCTCTTCCATGCATGTGTGCTGTCTTATGAGGGATGTATGAAACCTGCCACTTTCAGTCACTTCATCTCAGTGTTGGCTTATGAGTAAGGAAATAGAGGACAACTAGATTGTGCCTTTCCTCAGCCCCAGGGAATTCCCAGAACTTCTTTTAAGAAAACAATGTTCAGTTTATAAAGTAATGCAGATGCAAAGAATCTGACAGAAAACTTATTTTCTTAACAGTAGTGCCCAGTCAGTCTGTGAGGCTGACTTTGCATTCATGTTTGGGCTGGTTAAATATCTAAAGTATGACACTTTTTTTTTGCGTTGTTAAAATCACTGCTGAGTGTTAGCTGTCTGTATTTTGCTGTCTGCTACGTAGGTACCACAATATCATTAGCTTGCTGTTCCCTTCCTTGTTTCAATATGAATATCTATAACACAACATATTTTAAAGTTAAGTGTTTTGTAAAATACAGTTTCCTAAAGTGTATGATTGATAGTAATCTTAAAAATGTTGGCCAGCAAAGTTCTTCCCGCATGACTACGTTTTCCTTCCACAAGAAACAACTGCAGCTATGTAGCCTTTCCAGACTCAACTGATAGGAGGGTGGGTTTGCGTAACACACTTTACTTTTTTGAAAACAACAATGACTTGGTGTTTAGAACAGTCATAATAAAATAAGAGGGTTTTTTCCTTCTCTTGAACTGAGCTTTTGAAAGTTCAGGCTTTATGCAAGTTGCATATTAAATGATTAATTTTTTAACTTGGCAGAAAGGAAATGTTTGGGGGTTCATTTTTATTTTTATTTTTATTTTTAAGGTTGGGATAATTCTCCATTATTCCACTCTTGCAACAGTTCTGTGGCTGGGAGTGACATCTCGTAATATTTACAAGCAAGTAACTAAAAAAGCAAAAAGATGTCAAGATCCTGATGAGCCACCTCCTCCACCCCGACCAATGCTGAGGTGAGCCTATTGTTTGTTTCTGCAACTCATTATTTCCCAGGTTGCTATGCTTGTGTTCTGACCACCAATTGTAACAGGTCTCTACTGTTTTTTTGCGAGTGCTTTTCATAGAAGATTTTCTTTCCAGGTCCATAAAGTCCTTTCCAGATATTTGTGTTCCTCAGCATTACATTGAGGAGGATGAGGTGAAGGACAATTGATCGTAGCCTATTACTGTCTCAATGCTGTGTTCCCGATTTGTAAATTAAGAAATCGGTAGTGTTTCAGCATCACTGCTAGGACTTTAGATAGCAACACTTCCCATTACATTATCATAGAAGAAAGAATTTGGAGAATTCTATTATCACACGATTAACAGACAGTGCAATTTAAGTAAATAACATTTTCCAAAGATTGCTTACAAATAATTTGAGAAATAGTTACCCCTCATTATCAAATGAAAATAGTGTTCTTTGTGAAGCATTCCTCTTAGAATTTGTATTTCTGTAGTCACCGAAATGGGGGAATATAATTATCTGTGAAAGTCACCCTATGTGAAAGTCACCCTATGTGAAAGTCGCCCTATGTAAAATATTTTTAATAGAAAACCTTAGCATGCTTTGTTCATATAGCTTACTGAGCCGCTGGCTATTAATTAAAAACTGCTAGGCTGAAATTGTCCACAAGGTGGCAGAAGTTGATTAACTTCGATTAGTTATAGGCAAATATTGAGAGCACTTGATTTTAAAGTACAGAGACTAGAAAATCAGAAAGGCGTTTCCAAATATCAGCTAAAATTTGCAGTACTATATAAAAGCATATAGAAATATTTAATTGGTAAGTTAGAAGGTAGAAGGTTAATATTTACATCATTTAAGTGCTGTCTTTGCTTTCCTTAACTTTTATTATTTTTCTTTTAAGAAAAAGTAAATCTTTTGTATTCACTGTATGATATGCCCATCATCAACTGTGTGCCTTCCAACAGGGTACTGAGTAGCCTCTTTAATATTGGTTGTGATTTTTATTTTTTTTTTCAATTCCTTATTATTTGTCATGGAGTTCTTGCTTTGTTACAGTAAAATCACCAGCCTTACAGTCTCAGCTCTGCATAGACTTAAACCTGGACACCTCATCTGTGACAACAGCAGTAACTCTGGAGAGAAGCATCAGAACAGAGTGTACATGCTTTGTATTTTTCAGATTTTCTCAATGTCCAAGTTCTGGCAGATCAGGGATTTCCTCAGTCATATAGGTGTGTGGTGTTGTGGCATGGAACAGCCATAGAAGGATTTTTTTTTTTTTGTAGTTGTCTTTTAAACTCGCGTTCAAGCAAAACTACCATACTGGCGTAGGGTAAAGAGGTTTGTGCAAGTTTGTTTGTTTCAAACCAGTCATCTGCTGTTATCAGACCCCCCGTTTCTTGAATTTAGAGAGATAAAACAACTGATTCTCTGTTTGCCTCCATGCTGTTGATATTCCTCCTCCATATGCCCTTTCGGAATCACAAAGGGTCTTTTGGAACAGAAAATAAACCCCTGATAAATGTCTGTAGGTACACATTTTTCTCCTTATTTGCCGTATGTAAATTATTCTGTTTTATGTTCTTTGGGTTTAAAGAAGTCCACCTTGCAGATGATAGGTAGACATGACGTTTATACTTATCTTCAGTTCCTGTAGGCATTTTCTGAGGGTGGACTTCGTACCTGTTAAGCTTCCTTTCCCTCTAACATAGATAAGCTATATTCTTTATTTTGGGAAATTCATTGCATGCAAGACAGTTTTGTTGGTGATGATGATACTCATTCAGTGTATTAATGAGACCTCGTCACAGGTCGTGAACAAAGTGGAAAAAGACTTTGAAATGGATCTGGTGTTCTTCAGGAAGCCCTTACAGATGTTAGAGGGAAGATTTACTATGGCTCACAGTAGCCGTGTTGAGGAGATAGTGCAACACTTGGCACTGGTTGGAATTTCTTAACTGTAAAAATCTTTATGCCAAGTATATTGCATTGCTGTGCCAGGCAAGAGGGTGTAAAAATAACTGAGGGTCCTCAGCTTCCAGTCACAACAAGGAAGTGGGGCTTGTTGTGCAGAAACAGGATTTTGTTCAGCAGACTCCAACCAAGACAAAAGGGAAACAGTTTCAAATTTTTTAACTAGAACAACTGCTTTGCAAAGAACCTTGCTGAAGATCTTGATAATGTGATACTTCATGTAAAGCATGAAATGAAGTAAAAATACAAGTATTTGTATTTTGTAATTCTATTTAAAGGAAATAGAAATGCTTGTATTACTATAACACGTGAATATGGGTGAACATTCTACTTAGAAACACAGCATTTCACTATTTGTGTGGTTTTTTCTGTTACCATCATAACACCTCTTGTGTACCCGTGTTGTTAGATTTGTTTTTCTGGTTTTGATCTAACTTAAGGGAAAGTTTTACCTTGTAGAGCATTCTGCCCCAAAATCTTAATATCACTGCATCTCCTCTAGCATACTTTGTATAAGTTTTTCTTAGTTGCTATTCTTTTCATGCAGCTCCTTGTTGCATGATAGTTTTGGTTTGTAATTTGGGCTCTTAGGAGTTGCTAAAGACTTAGACACAGCAGCACACAAGTGGTTAATTTTTTGGGGTGTTTTTTTTGGTGTTGGTACTTGGTATCTTGGTATGGTTCAAGGCCGATCGTAAACATGTTCCTTCAATACAGCTATGGCTATAAACAATCCGTATTGCTTCACTTGCCCACCAGTAAGTATTTGCCTTGTGTAGAACCAGCTTCACCTAGTTGTTCATGTGTGAATAGTGGTGCATCTTTGAGGCAGTGATTTAGTAATTTGTAGTGAAAGATAAGTAGAGTAAAATCTGCCACAGAGATCTGTTTTGTCTGGCCAGCTCCTGATTGCTGCATCAGGATACAGGATAAACCAATGGCAGAATTTGATCTTTGTAGGATTCAGCAACTAAGTAGTATATTTAGTGTACCTAGACTTCTGAGAAAGATGTAACTTTAGGCCATTGTTTTGTGCGTCAAGTGAGACTGCAGTAAATTCTGGTGAATAATCTGAAATGCAGTGGAATGGTCCAGCACCATCGGAATAGCTCTCTTCTGTTGACAAAACAAACTACCCATTCATATGTCACAGTAGCAGTTTTCACTGTGTGTTCTAGTCTGAATTTGGACTGGATTAGCATAAGATACAGGACAGTGCGCCATTAATTGGAATGGTTGTCAGTAATTATTGATCTGCTGCTAATGAATTCAATCTGAATTCATAGAAATTGGAATGCAAGGTTAGATACTCTGACAACATATGCCCTTGTCCTTTTGAAGGCGTGCAGTTTTATTAACACCACCACAGAGAAGCAGGAGGTGTATACTATGAGATTATTGAGTCCATTAAATAAATAAAACTGCCACCAACGCCACCCTCAACCCTTCCACATGCATGAAAAAAATAAAGTAGTAACGACAGTTCTTATGGCTAATCTTCTGAACGTAGTGTCCATAATATTAGGCAACTTCATCTCTGGAACAAGAGACATAGCACTTACTATTTTTCTTCTAAGTTTCCATAATATTTTCCAGCAGTTTAAAACTTCTGACTGACGGCTTTTGCTTCTTTCTTCTAACGGTGTATACCTCCTTTCACTGTCTGCAAGGGAGGTGAGCAGCTGTGAGAGAGAGGTGGTTTACCGCAGGAGGAAACAGTGTTGTGAGGAAGAGTTAGAAAAAGTTGATACTGCCAAAGCCCAAACCTGATTCACTCTATTTATTTTCTTAAAGAACTTGCATATTTTCGGAAAGCTCTGATTTCTTTCATGGTGACTGAATAAAATCCATTGCCATTAAGCAGCCACTGATATACTGGCTTTACTTTTTAGGTTCTACCTTATTGGTGGAGGGATCCCTATCATAGTTTGTGGAATAACGGCAGCAGCAAACATCAGAAATTATGGCAGCAGACCTAATGCTCCTTAGTAAGTACCATAAAAGTGAGAGCTCTGTCAGAAGAGTTCATGGGTTTGCTTTTTTGAGTACTTGTTGCAATTAGTTCTGGTTCTTCCAGAAAATGTAACACAGCCAAGATAATTTCAAAGTACTGTTATGAACAGATAAAGCATAAGTGACTTGTGAGAAGACATTAATTTTGATTCTTTGGTTTGTTTCTTTTCCAGTTGTTGGATGACTTGGGAACCCAGCTTAGGAGCATTTTATGGACCAGCCAGCTTTATAATTTTCATAAACTGTATGTATTTTCTCAGCATATTCATACAACTGAAACGTCACCCTGAACGTAAATACGAACTTAAGGAGCCCGTTGAGGAGCAGCAGCGTCTGGCCACCAATGAACACGGGGAACTGGCTCATCAGGATTCATTGTCAGTGTCTCTAGTTTCCACATCTGCTTTGGAGAACGAGCACAGTTTTCAAGCACAGCTGCTGGGAGTGGGCCTTACTTTGCTTTTGTATGTCACTCTGTGGATCTTTGGAGCTCTGTCAGTTTCCCTGTATTATCCCATGGACCTGATCTTCAGCTGTTTTTTTGGGGCAGCGTGTTTAAGCCTCAGTGCCTTTCTTATGGTGCACCATTGCGTTAACAGGGAAGATGTCCGGCATGCTTGGATAACGACTTGCTGCCCTGGAAGGAGCACATATTCAGTGCAAGTAAATGTTCAGCCCTCTGGTTCCAGTGGAACCAACGGAGAAGCCCCGAAGTGCACCAACAGTAGTGCAGAATCTTCATGCACAAATAAAAGTGCATCAAGTCTAAAAAATTCTTCTCAAGGCTGTAAATTAACTAACTTACAAGCTGCGGCAGCTCAGTGCCACCCCACTTCTCTGCCACTGAACACAGGTCCTCAACTTGATAACAGCCTCACTGAACATTCAGTGGATAATGATATCAAAATGCATGTAGCTCCCTTAGAGGTACAGTTTCGGACAAACGGACACCCAAGTCGGCATCATAAGAACAGGAGCAAGGGACATCGCGCTAGCAGGCTTGCAGTGTTGAGGGAATACGCGTATGATGTTCCCACAAGTGTGGAAGGAAGTGTGCAAAATGGCTTACCGAAAAGTCGGCAGAGCAACAGCGAAGGGCATTCAAGGAGCCGAAGAGCCTATTTGGCCTATAGAGAACGTCAGTATAACCAGTCCCAACAAGATAGCAGTGATGCTTGCAGCACGCTTCCAAAAAGTAGCAGAAATACTGAAAAAACGATAGTTACCAACAACAAAAAAGATATTCTAAGGAAACCAATAGCGGTTGAACTTGAAAACCAACAAAAATCTTATGGCTTAAATTTAGCCATTCAGAATGGACCACTTAAAAGCAGTGGACAGGATGGACCCTTGCTCACTGCAGACAGTACTGGCAATATTAGAACTGGGTTATGGAAACACGAAACTACTGTGTAGCGTTATAATTCATTGCAGGATGAATCCATATGAACTGTGATTACGCATTCCTTAAAGCTATCAACACTTTTAAAGACTGTTTACAAACTCTAGGTACTTTATGCAGGGAGGGAACAAAGATAATCTGCCAAGCAAAAGATTGTATTATCTTTCCTGTTCTTACAAAGATGAAGTCTTGGTATTTTGTGGAAAATTTTTTTGAAGTCTTGAGAGTTGCAGGATATAACTTTGTACATTTTTATTTTTTACCTGTAACCCTGCAGATGTGTCCACAACACATTTCAAATTTGTATTTAAATGTATAATAAATAGTATTTTCCCGAGCAGCCCAATGTTGCACTTATTTGTTGGGTTTTTTAAAGACTATTGCACTGAATGTCACCTTGTTTTTACTAGTTCCGTATCTGAAACCTAGGAGCTTCAATTACTAAAGAAAATTATTTGGTGTCTGAAGTAGACAATGTGAATAGCTCAATTAATTGCATAAGGCCTAGAACTTGTTTGAAACAAAGCAGCTACATTTTAAAGATATTGTTAGTATACGGGCAACTTGTTTACTCCAAAATCGTTGTCTTGTACTTGCTGCATAAGTTAGTTACATTTTTAGATGGCTGTGGCTTATATTTAGTTTTTTTGATAATGTTTTTGGATAATACTCTATTTTGCCCTCATAATTACCTGACTGGGATGATTTTTTTTTAATTTGTTTTAATCACTTGTAATTATTTTATAATGGTTTTGGATAATACTCTATTTTGCCCTTATAATTACCTGACTGGGATGATTTTTTTTAATTTGTTTTAATCACTTGTAATTGAGAATGTTATGAATGTTCATGGAAAATAGGTGCTAATTTGCAAAGGCCATTGGTACATATCAGTGAAAACTCAGTTATAATAGTGTGGAAGAATAACAGCGTAGGTGTTTTGATAGGTGGTAATGGGATAATCCGGGATGATGGGATATCTGTTAAGAGTATGATTAGTATGCAGAATCAGGGTCTTCAAGTTCCCTGTCACTGTACAAGCTGACTCTTGAGAGAGCGTTTTGAGCTGCAAGTTCACTTGCACATGACAATTTGCAAAATAATCTTCTCCAATACTATACAGCATCTGTGTTTAAAAAAAAAAAGTTTCAGTAGCAGAGTTATATTAATAAGGTTATCAATTTTAAAAAGCATGTAAATTCCGGCAGTAGAAATAGCTAAAACATGCAATCCTTTACAGTAGTATAAGTCTTGAAAAATAAAAGTTGAATTTAAATTTGAGTTTAATTTAACTACAATTGCAGTATAATTACAAAAAATCAGTGTCAAGGTCATAATATTTTATGTAAAATGAAATATTATAGAACAGATTATTTGTCAATTGTGAGTATAGTTTTCTATACTTGTTTACACCTCATTATAAACAAGATCCTTTTTTTTTGTGTCATCCTGCTGCTGTGACAAATTTGAGGTTGTAGTTAGAGTAACGCTTGGGTTATACCTGTTTCTGGTACTGATACCCACTTTGCTAAAATCATGTGTATTAAATAGCAAAAAATGCTTCTGTGTCATCTAGTACTGATCACACTTTGACTTTTAAGCAATAAATGGAATTGGATTATATATGCTTGGCTACGTGGTTACCCAGTTCAGACTTGTCATTGTTGGATGTGTTAGTCAAGTGTATCTGAATACAGATACAGGTCTGACATTCTCAGTACTCAAATGTTGTGTTAAATAATTTATAATATGAGGACTCATTCAGATATGTTTAATTATTGCTTGCCAGGTTTACTGTTCCCTCTACTAATTGGTTTGATGGTCTGAGCTATTCTTGGTTGCATTGTACAAACTTCTCCAGTAGGACGGTGTTGTTAGGGTTTGGGTTCTATCTTTGCTTCTTGTGAGTAGTTACCATTTAAGAATTCTTAAAGCAACATGTTGTCAAGTGTATGACTCGGTTGTCATTGCTATTCTGTTTTACTGGCTTCGAGAGGTAGCTTTTAGCTTGTAACCGACCTTACAGCCACCGTATGGCTAGGCGCTCAATCAGAGGAACTCGCAGGTATTACCAAAGAAAAGTTGTTAAACTAAATGTCCAAATACATGTAAAATACTTACATTTTAAGCTGTTTCACAAGGTATTTAAGCATCTTGGACAACTCAATGCTCTGTAATGGCAAAAAAATAAGCTGTATGTGGGCTATTGTTTGGTCCAGCGGGAGTTCCTCTTGGTGGAGGAAATACATTTTAGACCTAGAAGTCAAAACTGGTGACTTAGTCCTATTCCGTTCCAAATGCTGCAGGTCGGTCTGTCTCTTGATTTAGTGGTGGATTGAATGAAAACTGAATTGCAGACAGTAACTGTAAGGTACATGCTAAAAGAAGCACTCATCTCTGAGATGAATTTGTATATTACACAACTAGCAGCAATATAATCACTTGGGTTCCTTCATACATAGTTTGGAGCCCCAAACCCAGGTATTTTTAGATTATATTTAGTCAGGAACATACAGTGCTGTGTGTTGTTTTGTTTTGGTTTTTTTTGAATAGTAACAAATATATGTACTAATGCAAATAACACAAAGTAGCTTAAATTTTCTATAAAATTACCAATCTAGACAAATATAATTTGATAGATTATTTATTATCTGAACAAGGTACAATAGGGACTTGGTAAAAGGTCGGTTCTCCTTTAGAATCCGCTTGCCTTCTGCTTTTAGCACTTGACACCTTTTGCACAGGTTTGAAATTGAACATCTGTTTAGTCTTTCTTGCAGCCTATCTTAAAAATGCCTTCAGAATTAATTCTATATGTAATACTTCTGCATAGCTTGATAGCTTGCCTTAAGTTTCGATGAGATTAAAAAATAAACTCTTTCCTAAGTACATAATAAATCATGAATAGCCTTTGCACATAGAGCGGGTTTTAATGTAAAAATATTTCTTGAATCATCACACTAATAACGTGCTTACATCACTTACAGCTATGTACTTTTAATCTAACAAGTGCTTTTTTTCAGATGATGGCGAACTACGACATTCTCAGATATAGTCTTGACAGATACTGAAGAATACACTCATCTGTGTTTCTCAAAGAATCTTAAATGAAAGAATTTATGTAACTAAAAGGTGGAAGGAAGGTTATTAGACTCTGAAAAAGTGGAGTTAGTAAGTGTAGTATCTTATAAGGAAACAGAAAATCTTCAAGCTTTCTTACATGCTCTTTCCTAATAGTGTAAAGCAACCTTATTTTCTGAGTTGTAATTAAACTTTGCATGAAAAACCACCTAAATCACTCCAATGGAAAAAAACACCGCACAAAAACCTAATTTTTGCCTGTTTGTGGAACAATGAGAAAGTAGCTACAATCGGTAATCATATATAAAGGGGAGCAGATAATACAACTGAGGTGAGAACAGCCTTTTTTTGAGATAACTTGGCTTTCTTCCCAAAAATGTAGAAACAGCAGTAGTTAGTGCTGGTCATCACTGTGATAAGTCAATATATTTGCCCATTTTGACAGTGACAAAAGCAGGCTTTGAAAAGCAAGTGTCAGAGGCTGGAGGAAGAAGGCTAGAAACACAGCCTGGTTTATGGCTAAAAAAGTTTTGGGAGTGATACCAAGGGTAGGGATTGAGGTGGGAAAAAAAGTTATGAGTGTTACTAAGGAAAAGGAGTTGATTGAGATGAGACGTACGTGATCAACCATTAGGAGTTTTGCAGCCAAACTGACAGTTCTCGAGTTGGGAGCTAAACCGTGCTTTTACGATGGAACAGACGAGGAAAGTGTCTCCAGCAGCTGTGGTGCTTTTGTGGTGTGTAACACAAGTGACACCAGCATAGACGGGGTAGCAGAAAGGTATCATGTTAGAGTGCCACTAACTGTAATCTCAGGGAATGCATTAAAAAAGATGCAGAAAACAAAAGTCACTTTTGATTAGACAGGCATCTTTGAAGAAAGTGTCTTTCATAACCAAAAAGATAAGTTTTCAAAAGGAATTTTTTTTGACAAACATCTGCACACAAAATTCACACATGCAAACAGTCATTGCTTGAATGTGTGATTACGACATGAAGGTGCAAGTATTTTCCCTTTTACTGAATGAGGAGCTCCCTATATTACTATTTGCTTACAGGTAATGTGTTATTAGAACACCTTAAATGCTAATTATTTTAGTTTTCTGTACATTAAGCAATACTTCAGTAGTTGGGAGGAAGAAACAATTACTTTTTGTTAAGTTCTTTAATTTTTACTTTATTCCATTTTATCAGTTCTGTGATAACACTGCTGCTTGCTCAAGCTGTTTGTCTTATTGTATTGCTGCTTTTTCACATCCCTGGGCAAACTGAAGAATCAGTTTTGGTTGGGTTTTGGGAGTCATGTTTTCTAGCTCTTACAGAGATTAATAGCATGGATATCTTGTCCAAGTTTAACATGTAAAACATGAAGAAAGATTCTAATTTAAACAAGCACCCTGTGAATTTTTAATCAGAACAGAGGGACCTGTTGTATTGTGAGAACTTGGTTTTAGTTTAAATTAGGTTTGTATACCTTCTCTGGTTCCAAGATTGGTTGAATGTGGACATTTGGGGAGATGGAGGAGGAAATGAAGTGGTGGTATCTATGAATACAGATGTAAATTTTGTTTCATGTGGAAGATTTAACTTTTGAAACCCGTTATGTTAGCAAGATCAGAAGAATGACAAACTTTCGTCTCTGCAATTCTAGCCCACCAACCCCACCTCGCATCTGAAACTCTCCTCTGTGCAAGCAGGTAGAAAATGGCAGTTCTTGGGTATGGAGGTGAGGAAAGCAGCCATATGCCTGGTGCTCACTAACCTGGCCGCTTCTTAAAGCCCTTGCAGAAGAGGTGCTGCTGACCAGGCTCCTCTGCTGACTGCAGGTGTGGCTCCCTGGTGTGTCTTAGACCAAACCTTCAGTCAAGTGAGGGATGGCTCTGCGCTGTCGAAACACAGCAGCTGAAAGGTCAGTGTAGAGGTGGTGCTTGCTGACTTCCTCAGAGCGCTTCAGAGCCAGTTGAGTATGGGTCTAATGTGACTTTAAAAAAAACAAACCAAGCTCCAATCACTGCAGCAATCTGCAATGAGGATGGAAGGCCTTGAAAATTAATCAAAATGAAATCCCAAAATATACAATTTGAGTATACAAATGAAGTGCTCAGCTAAACATAGCATTTTCTCTGAAGTCAGCATTTACTCAGTATGATAGTGCTTATAAATCATATTCTTCGAACTCTGCAGTGAAATAGATGAGACTAGTAAGACAAAATTGAGGGGAAATTTTTAGTTTCTATTAGATAAAGATTCTTGAAATTT